ATATAAAATAGCTATTACATTTGAGGAGAAGGGGGAGTGGAGCCTGAGCAGTACAAAAGAGAATTCATATGTAACCCCAAGAATTTTATTTAATATATTTATATAACACTTAATACTATTTCCTAAACAGTTTACAGATAGATAGATGATAGATAGATAGATAGATAGATAGACAGATAGATAGATGATGGAATTGTAAAGAATAAAATTTCCCTTAAAGAAGAAATGGGAAAAAAGCAGTGGTACATTTTGAAAGCTACTTAATATTCAGAGATCCCTTCCCTGTTCACTCACTCTCTTGCGAAGGCACATCCTGACTCACAATATACAAATATACAATGCTCACAAATAAACAATACACATCACATGTAGAAACCATCTTACAAAGCATGTACTCTTCCAGCACCACGCAATCCGGTCTACTCCTACACTCTTCTTCATTGGAGTTTTTAAAGCAGAGGTTGGGTGACCATCTGTGACCATCTGTCATGGCTGCTTTAGTTGAGATTCCTGTATTGCAGGGGGTTGGACTAGATGACCCTCAAGAATCCCTACCAACCCTACAATTCTATGATTCTGTTACCTCCAACAGTAAACACAAAGGCACCATTCACCCAACCACTCCAATATCTCTCCCTCAGTTGGCAAACTACTCTCCCCAATCACTCTTTCCACTCTACCAGTGATGGACCAAAAAGCACCAACTATCACAACTTAATGATTGCCCATGGGAAACATGGGGTGGGGGGAGTCACTGAAAAAGAACACCTTGATACCAAAGAATTGTTTACTTATAACATATGTTGGCTGACAGATAAAAAATGTCCAAGCAACATACAATTAATGCATAACAATATTAAAACTAAAAATCAATTGAAGCCACTTCCTGTCTAAGAACTTATTCATGAATGTATGCCAAGTAGAGAAAAATCCTGTCTTTAATCAGATTTAATCTCACTGGACATATATACAAACATTAAAACCACATTTATCTTTCAAAACATATAGCCTTGATAATGCAGTGAGTAAAAATTTAGGTATGTTTCTCTCTCAGAATCCAATTCTACCACCATTATTCAAACACAGCACTTTGAAAAAGAAACAGTTGATCTTGGGTTGATTCATATATTACTTTGCCTACTAGCAGGGAGAGCAGTACACAGAGAGAAGAATAAATTTCAATTTTCACTTCCAGTAGTGTCAACAGCTAAAGCTCTCCCCCTTTTTGTTTTTGGACTAGTTGCATAAAAAGCAAAGTACAAAGTTGTTCAGAGTCCACAATGGCTATACCGCCACTAATTCAAAATATTGTTGGACTCCAGTTCCCATTAGCCCCAGCCAACATTGAAAGAAAAATGCTCAAGGTGGCTTGCAACAGTTTTGATAAACACACACACACATTGTCATCAATAAATGTGACTGACCCTTATATTCCTGCCTGATAATTTAAGAGTTTTGGGGGAAGTATCTGTTCATCTCAGCTGGGAACGAGCCACAGCTCAGGAGCACAGCTTCACTTGCAGAAGGTCCCAGGTTCAATACCTAACATCTCCAGGTAGGACTGAGAGGGACCTCTTTCTGCCTGAAGCCCAGGACAGCCACTGCCAGTCAGTGTAGACAATACTGAGCTAGATAGACCAATGGTCTGACTTGGTATAAGGAAGGCCTCAAGGCTCAGATGCATGGCTTGTATCTACTAGAAACTGTACATTTAAGTATTCTGGGCCCAGATCCTATGGAACTCCCTCCTGGCTGAAATTAGACAAGCTTCCTTCCTGTTGAAACTTGGCAAGGAACTTTCTCTTTCAGCAGCGTTTTAAGAAAATTTTCTGTTTCAATTATTAATTTTGCTTGATTTTATTCACTTCACTTGTTTTATCATTGTTTACGTGCACCACTCAGAGCATGGTTATTAAAAACTAAAAAACGCATCAAATATAATTTCACTCTCTGGTGGACCAACCATATACTTTCAGAAAAAAACAAATTCTTCACCTGGTGGTCGAAGGTAAGCATAGAAGGAACCAGGTGAGTCTTCTTAGGTACACAGTTCTAGAGTCAAGAGTTGGCAATACTAAGTTAATAATTAAAGAAGTATTTATTTTGTTTAGTTAGTTACTAAATTTATATACCGCCCTTTGCCAGAAACCCACAGGGCAGTTTACAATATACAACATAGATGTCACAATTGAACATCTGCACAACAGAAGTATCAAACCAATTATATAAATATAACTACAACATAGTAATACAGTGGTACCTCCGGTTGTGGACAGGATCCGTTCTGGAGCTCTGATCAGTTCCTGAGGTTTCTGCAACCAGAGGGACTGCTTCTGCACATGCGCGCAATGCAGTAGAACGCTTCTGCGCATGTGCGCACGGTGAAACACTTCCGGGTTTACCGCTTTTGCAGCCCAAAGTTTACGTTACCCAAGGGTAATGTAAGCCGAGGTGCTACTGTATAAAAATTATCTTAACAGCAAGAGCATAAAAAGAAGAGAAACACGGCAACAGGTATCTAAAATTCAAAGCACACAAACAGAATCTTCACTCAAAAGTATCTCTTTATATCCTGACCACCTACAGAAAATGATGGACCCTCCCAGATCTCCAGTGGGAGCTTTCACTTCCTCTCCCAATCTTCCATCCTAAAACATATCCTCAGGATTGATCCAGTCCATCAAGTCCATTTGCATGTATTTATGCACTATATACACATTATACTTCTTCCCCAGCCACCCCCTAGAGCAGTCATGGCCAAACTTGGCCCCCCAGCTGTTTTGGGACTACAACTCCCATCATCCCTAGCTAACAAGACCAGTGGTCAGGGATGATGGGAATTGTAGTCCCAAAACAGCTGGAGGGCCAAGTTTAGCCATGCCTGCTCTAGAATAACCCCCACAAATTTTCCTATTCCAGAGTTAAACCTTTTCTATGCATGAACATTTTTTTTCCATAGGGAACAAGAACCCATAGAAGAAAATGACAGAAGTACTTTGCTATTCACGGATTTTGAAGATACTATTGATTAAGTTATTCCATGTCTGTGTACTGTGTACAGTTGAAATGCTGAACAGGTCTTCTGGAAAGTACTAAGGCTCTCTCTCTTTTTGAACCTCAGAGGAACGGCATCTCCTCACAATGTCACTCAATCTACTCTTGTTGCTCAAATTAGAATAAGAATGGGTACCAAGAAGAAACCATCCTCAATTAATCATGATGGTTGTGATGGTACAAAGGGAGAAACTAATCATCTGATAGTTATCTTCAGTCTCAGACCATTTGTTGTCTCATGCCTACGTTCACCTTTATTGGCAACACAATATATTTGGAATACATTTGCTGTCAAAATTCACGTGATTCCATCACTCCTGCTTTTAAAGAAATACTGCAAATCAAAGCCACTGCCAATTATTGTAGACAATACCAAGCCAGATGCAGCAGCGGTCTTACTAGTATGAAGTGGCTATCTTCCTAAGTTTACACATGCAGCCCTTGTGACTCCCATTTCCCTTCCATAACTTTGTTTATTTACAGTGCCCTTCCAAAAACAGCTTCTTCGTGGAGACTCTATCACTTTTAATGTAGTATTGTTTATCTCAGAACTCCGAGGCAAGGTTATCACAGCAGGTTAATGGATTTATGTTGGAAGAAGCCACGATTAGAATAGGGTTACCTGCAAGGACCTGCAGTCCACATTATGCAGTGGAAAACATAACAGCCTGATTGTTATCAGCTATCAGAATGGATAGTAGGAGTCTTAATATACTCAGCACACCCAATTCAGGCATGTTTGGTATACAGTACTGTGGTAGTGTTTCACATGTGAAAGCTCTGGATAAAAAGCTCACTGTTAGTACCCATCTCTCTAAACAAACAATGTTGGAAGTAACAGAACAGTTAATAGATGTTGCAGAAGTCCCAGAAATATTTGTTTCTGAAGGTCATTCATATGAGGCTCATGAGCATTCAGAATATTGCATGCATTTTTGCTATTTTTCATCTCATACGTCATATGCTTTTGCATTGCCTGGGTCAACTGTGCTGGCATAACATATCCGGTACCAACTGCAAACTCATTTCAGGAGTGGGGCTCCCCAGCTGAGTGAAAACAAGCCTTTTAAAAAGACCACCCTTTCTGCCAGTGTAACTTCTGCTTAGTTGCTAGGTAATGTCCCAGCTGAAAGGAGTTTGGAATAAGGGTAAGTCTCTCCTTGCCCTGTCCCCACAACACCCCTTTGGGGGACTTATTCTGGCCTTGACTGAACCAGCTTTGGCTGAGCTGGGATGGAGGGATTATACCAGTTTATCTCTGGCTGAACCAGTAGGGGGGACTTCAGCTAGCATGGCCCAAGCTCAGTTCAAGATCCACCTACTCCAGACCCCCTCATTATGTTTGGATTGCTCCCTACACTGCATTATAAAATAGTGACACAACAGGATAAAAATGCAACCAGATAAAAACAATTAAATGCCAGATAAAAATAAAGAACATGCAATGCAAATTTCATTAATGTTCAGCCAATAGGGACAAATCCTAGCTCACCCTGCTAAAAAATGATCACCACAATAGAGGCCAGCTTAACTAGTAAATGTCTGGGTAATAAAAAAAATGTCTTAGCCCGGCACCATCTAGTTAGCATTTCTATTTTAATATTCTAATCCATAAGGAGCAGAATCATCACCTTCTGCAGCAGGCATGGGAAATATTTTTTTCAGTCCAAAGACCCTTCTTTTTACTATATCAGTACTAACATCTGTTGGTGATATTAACAGTCGCTGTCACAATCTTCTGGTGTAGGGTCATGTTTGGCCTAATGCTTTGGACACAGAAAAGATGGTCAAGCAGGGTTCCAATAATAGCCAATGTAGAGAGAAATATATAGAAGGACCTGGGGAATGTACCCACACAATATTCTCTGGTTTCTCTTATGTGGCTGGAGTGGTTGCCCCTATCCACCCAGGAATAAGACCAGCCTGACAGTACATCAGGATGGGCTGCAGCTCAGTGGTACATCATCTGCTTTGCATGCAGAAGGCCCCAAGTTCAATTCCCAGCATCTCCAGGTAAGGATGGGAGAGAACCAGGCTTTGAAGCCTTGGAGCTAGATGGTGTCTGACTCAGTGTAAGGCAGCTCCCTGTGTTCCTATGTTCCATAAATCTGGGCATTAAAACTTTTAGTATTTCCTCTCTTTTTTAACAACTTTATTACATTTTCAAAATTTACAAAAAAGAATACTTGACCCTCGATTACATATTCTAAGATGAAAATAGATGTTACAAAATACATAATCAGAATAACATTGAGGAATAAAAAAATAAAACTTTTAGTATTTTCTTTCTAATGCTAGACTGACTGTTGTCTCAAAAAAAATATTTTAAAGCTTGCGTGTATTTTTTATTTTTATTTTTGCCTTTCCTTTGCTATTGATTCTGCATTCACAGCAAAAACTAAGCTTGAAATTGATGTAACAACATTTGCTCATATTCTCCCATTGTTTCCCATGCTCCTCCCTCCAGCACCCATCTATATCTGTACTATAAACTCCTCAGGGCAGAGACCTATCTTTTGCTGACGTTGCTTTCTAAATCATCGTGTACACTGCTTGAACTATATAAATATTAATGAAAGAGGCTAACATTCTATCTCCCCCAACCCTGCTAAAATATATGCAGGTACATGTGGTATGTGAATGTAGAACAGGGGCGTTAACGTCATCATTGGTTTGTAATTTCTGCTCATTCCTTATCTACATAGCTTCATGACAAAATGGAACAATGTGCATAAAGAAATCCACTCCCCATCCCCCCCCACACACACAAATACAAGAAATTATTTAAAAGAAAAAGGCACATCTTGGCATTTCACTGCAAAAAATAAAAAATAAATTAAAAATAGCCCATTTGCAGAGCATAATATAATTAGCCCTCCATTTCAATAATTTCAAGAAACAGTTAACCTTAGACAACTGTGCAGAAACCTTTTAATTAGCATGTTATCTTTTGTGCAATTAATACCTTGTCGCTCATATGTTATCTTCAAATTAAAAAGTTTTACTAGCTAATTAACCAACCAGCTCTAAAAGAGCATCAAGAGAAATCAAGAAGAGTACAGTTACTGGTATTATCATTGTTGCTGTTGTATGGAGTGGGAAGACTTTGGGCTTGTCCGATCTGCTTTGTCTTTTGTTACAAGTATTGTACCCTATGCTATTTCAGAAACTGTGAATTAAGTAGGTTCACCCAATTATGTGCAACCCAAAGCAAATTTCTCCCCTAAGCCTAAACTGGAAAAATGTGTCTGCTTCAGACCCTAAAGGCTCATTATTAGTCAGGGGACACAGTTTTGGTCTAGTTGCATGTTATGGAAGAAAACAAAATATAATATTTTTTTTACAAAAAAATAAGCATGTACTTCAAACCAGAAGATAAGGTTCAATATTTTGACGTGGCAGGTAGAAATACAGTAAGGGATCTCATATAACCCCCCCCCCCCCCAGTTATCTTGGTTTACTTAGAGCAAAAGAAACTCTGGCAAAAAAAATTAAAGATGAGAGGTGAAATATGATGAGCAGACAGCCACATAGTTTCAGAATTTTTTAAAAGGGTTTTGTTTTATCCCACTTCCCCAACAAAGAACATTCCTATCACCATGCTTACATATAAATGCTGCTGGGCATTTAGTGGAAAAATATGAACTCTGTGATGCACCATTTCTTTTTTTTAAAAAAAAAAAAGTTTCCCGCAATACATAGCAAAAGCCAGCTGGCAAACCATGCCTTTATTTTTGGAACAAAAAGCAGTGAGGGCCATACTCTCCCTGCCTTGCCCTATACAGTGGAACCTCGAGTTGCGAACATAATCCATCCCAGAGGCATGTCCGCAATTCGAAGCATTCACATCCAGAAGCACCGCGTCTGCACACACGCGCAGCGCAATTTAGCGCTTCTGTGCATGCATGAGCGGCGAAACCTGGAAGTAACCATTTCTGGTACTTCCAGGTTGCCATGGGACACAACTTCAAAAGACGTAACCTGAAGCAGACACAACATCAGGTATGACTGTACTAGGTTTGGTGTTTCTGAGACTTCTCAGAGGACACAACATTAAAAATAAAAAAACATGAAAACATTTGTTTGGCAATGGTAGTTGATCTCTGTTGAGACAGTAGGGCAGAAGGCAGGAAGACCAACAATAGATGGAGCCAGAGAGCAAATGGCAGGCAGAGACAATTAATTTTAGTCCGTCCCCCCACACCTTCATCCCTGGTGAGTTCCACAAGGACATCACTGAGACCAAGGAGGAGGAAGGTGACAGCCAGGGCTTCTCCCTGGGCTTTGTGCAAACAGTAAGACAGGCAGATAGTTATGGGCTAGTTGATAGCAGACCAGCCTCCACAGCCACATGGTAGCCTACCAGAACCAATTGAACACCGCAAAATGCTAAAAAAGAAAAGAAAAAGTTCTTAAAACCAGCATAAGTCACTTTCAACAACCACACCCCATGCGCTACCAAATATTTCCAATGGAAAATTGGAGAGGCATGGAGAGACAGCTCTACAAAATCCAAAGATCGGGTGGGGGTGGAGATCCTATGGCAAAATCTGCCAGGATAAGCAGTTTAGGAGGCAGCAGATCTCTGGCTCTGCCAGGTGTTTTCCTGCTCAGCCAGCATAAAGTCCTTGGCTCAGCTGTAGACACATCAGCATAGCTTGAGGATCAGGTGTGACAACCAAAGTTGGTTGAGTCAAGGCCAGTTTAAGTTCCCCAAAGGGATGTGGCTTGGGAAAACAGACTGGATCCCAGGCCCATTCAGTTGGTCATGCAGCCTGGCAACCCAGCATAAAACACTATTTTTGGCTTGCTCTTCTTCTGTAGGGCTTAGGCAGAGGAGGAGGAGCAGGCCTGCTGCTGAATGGGGTTTGGATCTGGTTTAACTTTACACTGATTTGCTTTATGTCAGCTTCTACTCCCTTAGCCTGCACTTAGAGAGAAGATTCTGGGATGCCTTGCATCCAAAGTTGTCCCAACAGATGACACATCCATCCCACTAACATTTAAAAGTGGGTGTGTGGGATGGAGGAGGGAAAGACCTCCTCCATCCCTGGTTCCCAGCCTTGCTGCCCCCTGATATCTGCTCCTTCTCCTTCTCCTTCCTCTTCCTCTTCCTCCTCCTCCTCTTGCAAAGGGGTCCATGACACAGGAAGCCAAACTTCGGTTTTTCTGGGACCACATGGATTCTGGGAGAGGAGATCACAGGCACTTTATTCCTCCTTGGTATTTTTTATTCTTGCTCCTTGGATACAGCTCATGGTTAGCAAGGAGAGAGGAGGAATCTAAAAACCCAGGTATTTGATGGTTGAAACATACTGTTCCTGGAAACCTTATTAGCTGTGAGGATATGTGATGGTTTTAAAATGCTTTGATGTTACTCTTCATTGTACTGTTTTGCTGCTTTGCCGTTTGATGCCCAGGGGGCAACAGCAGGATAACAATTTATTAAATGACAATAAATAAATTGAATCTGAACAAACGGAAATGTTATTTCCAAGTTTAGAAAAAGTCGGGATCTAAAAAACATAGTTTGAGTTAGGTTTAAGATCCTGTCTCATTCCAAACTTGGTTACCATAGTTCACAAGTTCAGACGTAACAGGAAACTATGGTTAACGGATGACTTCCAGGCAGGGCTTTTTCAGCTGGATCTCACTGGAACTTAGTTCTGGCACCTCTCAGGTGGATGCCATTGCCATTATAAGAGAACGAGGGAGGAGTTTGTGGTGATTTCCAGCACCTCTTTTTCTAGAAAAATAGCACTGCTTCCATGGTTAATTGTGGGGTGCCAAAAAAGGACGCAAGAAGGAGCATTGTGCGTATGCACAACATTCATTCATTAAGCCAGTATATGATTGTCTAGAAAATTATCTTCCTCCATTACTAGAGCCAGCTCTCTCTACTTACATTGGGGTGGCAACTGCCATTACGGCTTTGCACTGACAAAACATTGTAAAGGGATGAAAGAAACTGCAGTGCTTTTAATTAGCAAGCAGAAGAGGACTGGAACTGGGTTCTGCAACCATTTACTGGACAGGGATGAGGTCTGAGCTGTGCTGTGGGGAAAGCATGCTTAAAATTACCCACCTGTTGTACCAGACTGAGGCCACAAGCCAGGAAATCCATTTACCTACCATTCAAAGCCAGCCTGCAGTGTGCCCTGAAAAAGCAGTTAGGTTTGATTCATGTTCACAAACACTATATTTGTACTACACTGTGTATTTTAGAATTTAAAAAGCCAAAGTCTTAGTTTAAAATTGTATACTCTAGTACATTATCACCTTTGCAGTTGTAAAAAGATGACATTTATTAAGTGATGCAGTATTCTTGTTCCACCTCAAGTAACTGCAGGTGAACAGTATCTTTTCTCCTTTTATACTTAACCTCTCACATATTTACTTGATTCTTAATAATTACTACTCTTTGGGCAAAAAGGCTTTCTCTCTCTCTTTTTTTACAGTGTACTGCACTCTTACAAGCTGCCCACTCAGAGCATTTTTCACAGATCTCTGCCAGAACTGCATAAATTTGATTCTTTTTAAATTTAATAAGGATCAGAATATATCACAAAGCACAAATACACATGGGAGAAATAGCTATTTTGCATAGTTATTAAGTGCCCATTCAGAGATAGGCAGTGCAACTGAATATTACTTGGAAGTAAATCTCACTGAATTCAATGGAGCTTACTTCAGAGTAGACATGTATAGCACTGAACTGTGGACGTGCAAACCTAGAACACCAGGCCAGAATTAAACAAAGGGAGAAAGACTCATTGCATGGTAATTATTGGGTTATCAATGGCCAATTAATTACCTATTGAAACCCTTTAGTAGGCAGAGTGAGCAGTGTTTGGCTAGTGAATTTAGGTTAGAGGGTAAACTGTTGCAATCACAAATACAGAGATACTTGTAGGCAAGAAAATACTAAAGTTGTAGGAAAATGTATTATAGTTGTATTGTAGGAAATACATAATGTGGGTTGAAAAGTTTCTAGTTCTAGTCTAATTAACTAATCTAGAGAAGAACAAGGCTGTCATGCTTGCTCCTTTGTTATCTCAGAGGATAGTTAAAGATCAGTGAGAGGAGGAGGAGAAAATTGTAAGCAGGATGCAACCTAAAAAGTACCAGTCTAAACAACAAGGAAACAGAGAAGTATGCTGATAGATTAAAGGTACAGGGATAGTCTGGGAATGTGGATGCCCCTGCCTTAACTGATGCAAACCCCTTTTCTGCAAGCTGAGTTGTACCCCCACTTCCAGCAATTATGAACTTTGGAAATAACATTTGATAAACATTATTAACCATACCGATGCATTAAAATAGAAACATGGCAATGATTCTTTAGGTGTGTCTTTTATCAGGGTAGCAAGAAAACAGGCAAAGCTAAAGTAGGCCTTGCAAAGAACTATCACTTACTGCTGCAAAACACATCTGAACACAAATTCATTTATGAGCCACTGTAACATGCAAGAAGACAGGAGTGCCTCGCATGCTCTGGTCCATGGGGTCACGAAGAGTCGGACACGACTAAACGACTAAACAACAACAGTAACATGCAAACTACAGGAACCCCAAATGCTAACTCTGAACCACAGCATCCCCATCACATAACAATAAGTATCAATACACAACATCTAGTAACTTCTGTCAGGCTCCAAACTGCACTTCTAAACACACTTACTGGGGCGTAAGTCACATTCTAATAGAAGACTGTTTTCTGTAAAGTAGGATTCATGACCCCTCTAATCAATGGTAAGGTACAGTCATGTAGTACAAGTGCCTTCTGGGTCACACAACTGCTAGTTCTATTTCTCAAATACATACATGTGTCATATTCAAATGAAATAAGAAGCAAAGAGCTTTGAAATGTATCTGTTACTCTGGCACTAAGAGCAGACTCACTGAAACTAATTGGCTGCTGCTAGCCATGGACATTCATATCAACGGAACTACTCTGACTTTCTCCTTGTTCCTGATGTAGATCTTCACTCAGCCCCTTTTCCCTGGCCAGGGAAGAGGAGGGTGTCATTTTGTGGTGTCCCTCGGGTGCCAAAATGTCTTCTGGCCCTGTATAGTGCCTCTGACAGGGGAAGTAAAGCACGGCCATTGTGGCTAGGAGCCTTGAAAGCCTTATCAATAAGCACAGAAGCTACAAGGAAAAGATTACTCTTTTAATGCCTCATAAGAGTCTTAAAATTGAAAGTAATGTACAGGTGAGCCACTTTCTGAATCATAACAGATGCACGCAGTCATTACAACAGTCTTTCCCATCACTTTAGCCATGAAGATTGTCATAGAATCATAGAACAGTAGAGTTGGAAGGGACTACAAATGTCGTCTAGTCCAATCCCCTGCAATGCAGGAATGTTTTGCCCAACATGGGTCTTGAACCCATGACCCCAAGATTATGAATCTGATGCTCTACTGACTGAGCCACACACTTTTGCCCTGTATAATCTAAAAGTACCTGTTCCAAAACCAAAGGTAAATATTGCCCACTAGTCATCATCATGGAATCTAGCAATCAATCAATCAATCAATCAATCAATCGATTGTATTAACAACCTGACTTTAAAATTCATTGCAAGACTTAATTTGCTTGCTTTTCTGAGTTTGTCTGGCAACTCTAAAGTTATTTCAACACACTACTTTGTGTTTATTAAGAGAACACTCAGCTATATTATTATTTTTTCACTTCATGAAATTTTCAATATAGGGGGGAATGAGGGGGAAGTCCATAGATCCCTATTTTGTAAACCAGACTGCCATTTATATTCAAGGCTGTATTTTAATATACCATCAATATTTAACTACTTCATGAAATGAAGTGTGACTTTTATAGTGAAAATGTCAGTCTTTGCAGTTCATTAAATTCATTTAAAGCATAGATGTCTGATTTTTTTTTCTTCCTCCTAGAGAAATAAAGGACTATTAACTGAGACATAAATTTTAAATTTAGTGTGTAGGTTTTTTTCTTCATCCTCAAAATTAACATTCAAGATTTCGCTGTGGGTTTTGCAAATTTAAACTCCTGTGTTTTCTCCCCATTATCCCAAGCTTAGAATATGCCAGTCATATAACATATGCAACTGTTTATCACAGTTGGATGTGACCAGTAGGAAGCCGCAAAGGATATTAAGATGTCATATGCTATTATGAATCTGTGGAATTCCACATGTAGTATTAAAAGTGCATTATTTTGAACTGCAGCATCTGGAGAAATAAACCATATATGAGCTGAAATGTAATAACTCACATATTCCAACAGGGGTTTTGTGAGTGGCATACCTCTGTCCCATTTAAAAAAGAAATAGTTAAGAACTCTTTGGCAGAAAGGAGGAGCTAATAGCTTTTAACTTCAGAGAAGAGGGTTTTTTTTTATTTTACAAGCTTATTTATCGTTTTCCCATTTTACAACAACAACAACAACAAATTGTTTAACAAAACTAAAAATACACATCAAATTGACCTCCTCCACACACACCCTCAATCTGGAACACTCAATCTGTTCCATTTGCAAGCCTTGGGGGCAGAGCCAGCCCAATACATTTTGGCACTTGAGGGTGTGATCCCCACACACCCTGCCAAGGAAGAAAAAGGGTGAGTGAAGATCTACATCGGGACCAGGGGAGAGGGAGGGGAATAAAGATCTACAAAAATTAAACACGCCTTAATATTACTCAGTGGTGGATGGCATGGTAAGGAGAAGGTGCCACACCGCCACACTGTCACTACTACTGGTATTAGGCTGTGTTATCATCGGTCTCATTGGAATGTAGCACTCTCTCGCATAACACAAAAACTCATGGACATTCAGTGAAGCTGAACGGTGGAAGATTCAAGACACATAAAAGAAAGGTAGTAGTTAAACTATGGAACTCCCACAGGAGGAATGGAGGGCCACAGATTGGACAGCTTTAAAAGAGGATTAGAGAAATTCTTGGAAAACAATGCTACGGATCAATGGCGACTAACTATGATGGCTTTTACCTCCACTGTCTGGGGCAATATGCCTCTGAATACCAGTTGCTGGGAATCACAGGTGGGGAAATTGTTGTTGCACTCATGCCCTGCTGTTGTGCTTCCCACAGGCATCTGGTCAGCCACTGTAAGAACAGGATGCTAGATAGACGGGCCATGACTTACTGCATCTCTTTGCAGTTTTCACTCAGGCATATATGCAAAAACTATGTCGGCAGAAAAATGACATTCAGTTACACGCACGCGCGCACACACACACACACCTTAAACAAACTTCCACTTACTACATTGCATCATCCTGGGTCATGAAACCTGCCAATACTAACTTTAAAAATTAAAATATGATTGCTACAAGGCATCTAAATATGCATAAAAGTCATGGCCAGATATGAACACAGCAGAAAAAAAATAAGAAGCCTCTTTTTCTCCCCACCTCTGTGCCAAAAATTGGAATTCCCCAAGCATTCTTAAAGTGTGTTCACAAGGGCACCTAGCCACAGGTTTCCTCCTGGAGAGTTCGCAACGTACTAGCAGTTATTTGTTGTTAACACTTAGAAGTAATTCACTGATATTTTCTTGGGAATGGCTAAAAGTAGAGTGGTCTGTTACACCTGCATAATTTTCTTGTCCTCTTTTGCACCTGGTGGCCTTATCTGAAAGACAGTGCAGAGTTCTGAGTTACAGTGTGATGAACTTTATCCCACCACCACCAAGTTTGCATCTAGATTTTCAAGCAGGGATAACTGACTCTATATTAACTTCATCAGTGAAGTATTTTCTGCACTGACATTTCAGTGGAGATTAGCGCACTTGCTGTTGATCATGTTTCCCCTTGTATTGAAGATCCTGGCTTAGAAAAAGCAACTCTATTCAGGTCTGCACAGAGGATAAAAGCAATTACACTCTACCCCACAATTGCCTGTACAGATGAACTTCAAGCATTCCAGGGGAAATACCAGTGAAATACTGCTGGACATACACCATATATTCATTCACGCTCTCGTGTGTGTGTGTGTGTGTGGTGTGTATATTTATGAATATGAGATTTCAACACATTTAAGGTTGCATACACACTATATCTTTACAGTTCCCAGCAACCCTTAACAAACTACACTACCTATAATTCTTTGAGGGAAAAGGATGTGCTTTGAAATTCCGTTAAAGGTAAAATGTGTATGCAGCCCACATCATACCTATACTAGATTAAAATTGATAAAGATGACTAACTTAAGTCCAGTTTGCTTGCCCAGTCCAACACATTGCATGACTGAGATGTGGAAGATGTGGCAAGTGGACAATGAGAAACAGCTACATCAAGCACCATCATAAGTATGTCATATTTGCCTCCCCCCCCTAAAAAGCCTAATCCACCAGACACAAAGGTCTGCTCCACAAAACAGAATTTTCTCCTCCATTATCTAGAGTAGAATAAATTGTTCAAGATGTGTCTGTTTTCAATCCCTATCTGGGTTATGAAACACAATGGTTGATGACATTAATTATTAAGGTAGACATGCTTGGAAAATCACCACACCCAGTCCCAAATAAATGCTCTCTAAAATAAGGCGAAACTCCCACCCAGCACATATACATCAAAGCTTTTTACTAAACAGCAAGTCCCACTGAATTTAGCAGGACTCCCTTCTCTGTAGACACTCTCAGATCACACTGGCTTGATACCATTTAAATAATTTGTTTCAGACTGAAAATAATTCACATTAAGAACACATGCATTAACCGCTACATTAAAAAGGAGAGGCTTTTTTTACAGACATAATTACTACTTATAGTAACTTTATTGCACCTTTAGAGTCAGCAATGTTCCATCACCTTACAAGAAGCAACGACTATGGGATGCTGATCCTTAAGATTTGCTCTAATGGTTACAATGTTCATATAGCCTTACATTTTCTACCAGTATAACTACCGATGTGCACATCATGTGTCAGTGTAGCAAGTCTTGGGACTGAGCTGTTGTTACTCATGCCAGCTTCTATTAAGACTCAGTCCTACTCCTAATATAGGAGTGTATGGTGAGACCTCTGAGTAAGGATACAAGGGAATGAACAGCACATCCATGCAATTCAATGCAAATATATGGGTTAGCATAATTTGCAAATGATGGCTTTAGGAATCAGTCTCAGGCACACTTAATTGGGACAAAATATTGTATCATGCTGGGCAGTTAGTCTTCTAACCCGGAAACTCCAGCTGGTGCAAAATGCAATGGCTAGACGGTTGATGGGGAGAGATTACCTTCAGCACTTAACACTGGTGCTTAAGAGCATCTACTGGGTGCGTATATGTTACTGGGCCAGGCTTAGTTTTCTTGTAATAACAACTTGAGTCTGGGATATTATGGACAGCCTGAGATCTTTTGGGGAGTGTCTGTTAAGTTTTCAGATGTACAGCTTGCCAGAAGCAATGCATTCAGTATGGTGGACCCAACACTGTGGATGTCCATCTTGACTGTGATTAGGCAGGCCCTCTCTCCCTGCTGAACCCCAGGTACTTGGCAATGCACATTTATTGCACATTTAAAGCACATGGCCTCCCACAAAGAATCCTGGAAATTGTAGCTCTGTGATGGGTAAACTATAGTTCCCATGATTCTTTGGGTGAATCTGTGTGTTGTGACATGTTTTAGACATTCCTATTTCATCTGTCATTTTAAGGTAGCTTCTGTTTCTATGGTGAATTTTATTTGTTCTTATTCTTTGTATTTATTTTATTACTTTATGTACACCCCTTAGAAATTTTGCATATTAAGGGGTGCATAAATAACACCTGAAATTTAATGAAACAGAATAAAATAAGGTAACATCCGCTGGAGATGCAAGTTACATCATGAGGATTGTATACATATATTTCGACTAGGCAAGTTTATTCAGGAATACTGGGCATCAATATTAGGTAGATATATGAAAAGAATCTTCCTAGGAAGATACTTGTGTGTACATTCCTAAACTGAAAGTTCCATGCCACTTGCTAAACTATAAAGGATTTTTATCAGCATGAAGGCATTCTGTCTCCTTAGTGAACACTTTCTTCTCTATGAGTCCCGCCCCTTGTTCCAGAATGGGTGTACCCACCAACCAGCCATTCTCCCCAGCCTGTTTTTGACCTAGTGGTGGCCATAGGAACACAGCTAGCTGCCTTTACACTGAATGAGATCTTCAGTCCATCTAGCATAGTACTGTCTACACTGGCTGGCAGTGGCGTGCCAGGGATTTAGACTAGTATCTTTTGCAGCCCTGGCTTCAGGTGCTGGGTACTGAACCGGAGATCTTTTTGCATGCAAAGCAGGTGCTCTGCTACTTTGCTACTCCTATCCCCCTAAATTTCCCTCTACAAATACTGGTGCACTGCATTCAGGGCTTCAGAAATGATAGACTGATACTACAGAACAATGAAGAATAAAAACCAGTAGTGTGGCAATTATTTATGACTATACAAAC